TTTTCTTTCGTTTTTGTTGTTGGGGTGCTGTGGCTGTCCCAAATGTGCGTGAAATCACAACCAAGTTTTTTGGTTCGTGAAATCACACACGTTTCACTCACGGCGAAGGCAAAGACAATGGCTTCATCGCTGGAAATTGATTGTGGTTTGGGAGGTGTTCGGGAGGGTTCGATCCCCTCACCTACAGCAAATGGTGTATGGAGTTACCCTTGGCCTTCTTTTTTTTCCAAAGAGAATTTCTGTCAGAACAATCCAACAGTGTGCACTGCAGCCTATTTCAAGGAAGCCTCAGACTATTGTCAATGAATATGGTCCGTGTGCCCACTCACATGCAGTCATCTTGACTGCCACAGCCATGGTCAGTGAATCATACCCTGACATCTGGCACCCCGCCTGGAGCAGACACCATCTGTGAGAAGAGCGCTTTCTTTTCTTTTTTAGCAGTTTTTCCTTCATTTGTCTGGTCATGAAATGTTTTTTTGCGTTTACTTTCCCTATTTCACGCTGGCAGCCACCTGTCCCCCACCTGTCCCACACCCGTCACACTAATCCACAGACATGGCTAGTGGGATCTCCGTCCAGCTGTAGTAGAAGAGGTCTCATGTGAGTATGCTTTCTTTTTTCTTCTTTTTTTTGCGAGTATGCTTTTGGTTTTTCAGTTTTACAAGGGGTGGATCCCAGTGGCCGGCGTCGTGGAAAAAAGTTGGCGCCGGATCGTTTTCAACACCCCACCGGGGTGGAAAACAGGTGTGGAAAGTCATTCTGGACAGCATTTTCGGACACGACTGGTTATGGAAAGGTATGGAAAGTAGAAGAGGTCTCACGTGAGTATGCTTTCTTTTTTCTTCTTTTTTTGTGAGTATGCTTTTGTTTTTCCGTTTTACAAGGGGTGGATCCCAGTGGCCGACGTCGTGGAAAAAAATTGGCGCCAGATCTTTTTCAACACCCCACCAGGGTGGAAAACAGGTGTGGAAAGTCATTCTGGACAGCATTTTCGGACACGACTGGTTATGGAAAGGTATGGAAAGTCATTCTGGACAGCATTTTCGAACACGACTGGTTATGGAAAGAGGTTGCCAAAATGCTGACGGGGTGTTTCTACACGGTCGGCGGTCTGGAAAATTGCAGCCAAGTTCCGGCATTCCTTTCCCAAAGATGGCATCCAGCCGACTAGGAGGGGGCGGCGTGTTCTCCCATGGCATCGGAGGAGATGAGATGTGGTCCAATCGACGGTTCAGGGGCTGTTTTGTAATGGACAGTCCTTACAGAACTTACCTATTCAGGAGGGACGCCTTCGGGTTTTCCTTTTCGGGGAGGTGGTGCCGTTTCCAGCGCCCATTTTTGTGACAGCGGTGGGGTCCCGAGGAAAGCTGGCAAATGCTTCCCAGACTCAATCGGCCGTTTTTTTGTGGCCATACTGCTTTTCCAGCCGCCGGCCCGCGGGGTCCACCCCTAAGAGTAGAGGCTCTTTCTGACAGCACGCCTCCTTGCCGTGAGAGGCGGGGATAACGTGAGTAGGCCATTTTCTTTTATCTCTATTTTTTTTGTGAGTTTTTTCCTTTTTTATAAGAGTGCTCTTTCTGACAGCCTGCCTCCTTGCCGTGAGAGGCGGGGAGGAATCCATTCAGTCCTCAGGCATGCACTTCGTGAATGTATCTGACTGCAATTACAGCAACGCGGGGGGATGCTGTGGAGTGAAAACAAAAAATAGACAGCCTCCTCTTTGTTCCTTCTGCTGATAGTACGTCCCTCTTTGTTCCTTCTGCTGATAGTACGTCCAGCACAGAGGGGGGTACCAGTACCACCCTGAATTTTCCCAGTGGTGGTATCCGTCACTTGCAGGCTCGGCAAAATCCAAATTTAGGCTCGTACATTTAGCCCTGGGCGTACTGGTGGTTTAAACCACCAGTACCTTTTTCGACTATCGAAGCCTGAGATCGCCCTGCGCGCCCAAAAAAGAGGCACGCCCAGAAAAAGGAACCGGCGTAGGCCTCATTTGGCTCGCGCAACCATCCATTTCAGTCTGCAAGTACCGAACCTCGCTTGGGTGCGTATTTGATTTTTAAACCACCAGTACTTGGCCCATACATCAGCCGCGGCGCGTTGTCGTTAACGCCCCGCAACTTCGGAAGGCTCAGGGTACCGCCCTCAAAGGCTTCTTGGGTGCGTACTTGATTTTTAAACCACNGCCCTCAAAGGCTTCTTGGGTGCGTACTTGATTTTTAAACCACCAGTACTTGGCCCACACATCGGCCGCAGGGTGTTGTCTTCAACGCTCCGCAACTTCGGGAGGCTCGGGGTACCGGCCCTCAAAGGCTGGCGGGTCGGCACGAAACGGCGTGCAGCCCATTTTCAGGCTCAGCATGGATAGCTGGGCCAAGTACAAACCACCAGTACTTCCTGAAGTCGTGCCCGTTAACGCTACGCGATTCTAGGAAACGTACCGGCCACTACAGGAGCGCCCAAATTCATCCAACTAGAAACGTTTCTACTCTATTGTTTCCCGATAGCTCGGCCAAGTACTGGTGGTTTAAGTGCTAACCACCAGTACCTTTCCCTGCTTGTACCTTTCCCTGCTTGTACCTTTCCCTTCTTGAAAAACAAATGCCCACCAGTTAACTCGGGAGGAGGGCAGGCTTGGGACTACACGAAATGGCTGGTGGCTCCACCCAAAATGAGGCCCGCGCCAGTTCTTTTTCAGGGCAGTTTTAGGCTCAGCATCGATAGCTGAGAAAGGTACTGGTGGTTTTGAACAACAAGTACGTTTCCCAGCCATTTTTTCCGAGACGCGGCATGCATGCTGCTACTAGAGGTATGCTGCTGCTAGAGGCGGAAAGTACGACCCGGGGTTCAGCCAGACATCCATCCGGGTAAAACAGGCCTCGCATTCTAATAAAAAAAGAAAAAAAGGCCTCGCATGTGACCTGTTACCCGTTTTGCCTGGATGCCGCCACCTCTCTGAAAACATGGCTGGGCGCACCGATGGTTTAAACCACCAGTACTTAGCCCAGCTATCGATGCCGAGCCGGCCCACCCCCTGCGTGCCAATTTTTCCCGAGCCACTGCAGCGCCGTTTTGACTTTGTTTTGGCTGGTGCTTCCAGCCATTGAGGTCTGGTACCCGTCTGGTACACCGAAGCCCGGAAGTTGCAGGTCGTTAACCGTACCCGAGGCCGATGTATGGGCCAAGTACTGGTGGTTTAAACCACCAGTACAGAGCCTCAGTCTTGCAGCAAAATAACGGGCCAATGTATGGGCCAAGTACTAGTGGTTTAAACCACCAGTAC